GATAGATAGATAGATAGATAGATAGATAGATAGATAGATAGATAGATAGATAGATAAGCAAGCAAGCAGATTATGAATCCAATTGGCATCTGTGCTGGAACAGGTGAGAGGTTTACCTTCCTTTTTATAAAAGAGGAGAGCAGATGGAAAAGTGCCACGTGTACCTCTCTCATCCCCGTTCTAGAAAAGTGCTTCTGTGGGAGCTCAGGAACCTGAGAACTCTTCCTTTTAGAGTCTAGAATGCATGTGCTGTGTCTGCAAAAGCCCTCCTGTGCCCCCAGAGACCCACAGCCCAGTCTGAAAACGACAGAAGAACTGGAACGGAAGAGAGAAGACTGGGAGGTGGACCGTTTGCTATAAAACACAGGGACCTGAGTTCAAATCCCCAGCACCTGTATAAAAAGCTGGGTGTGCCTGTCTGTGGCTATAACTTCAGCACTGCAGGTGGCCTAGAGAAGGGGCGCGTGGGCGCTTGCTGGATACTAGTCTAACATAAGGTAACGGATACACCCTGGAGTAAGGTAGGACTTGATTGGGCAGGATGCCGGAAGTTCTCCTCTGACCTGCAAATACTCAGACACTTACACTCCCTTGGGTAAGTATACACACCACACATACCATGGCACTCCTATGGAGGTCAGAGTACAGTTGTCAGGTCTCTCCTTCCACCATCTGGGTCCCTCCCTGGATTTGAACTGAGGTCACCAGGCTTAGCAGCAAGTGGCTTAACCTGCTGAACCATCACACCAGCCCTCCCTGTATCTATCTTTTATTAATGACCACAATATTCATAATAATGGCTTGCCAAGAAACATCCAGGGAAATAAATTTTGTCCTTTTCGTCCTGTCTTCCAGGTGTGAAGGACGTTCGCCCACCACAGTGGTGTCTGGTCCGTACCTCAGCCTGGGTGAGGATGTAGGCACCTCGGCTCTGCTGATGACTGGTTCAAGCCAACAGGGACCCCTGCCTCCAGCCACCCTCACAGACATGTCAGCCGTGGAGTAGGGTGGACGCTTTCTCTCATCTTCTCAGGGTTTCAAGATTTTTTTTTCGATTTTCTTCATTTCCTCTTTTTGTGTGTGTGTGTTTTTGATTTTTATTTTGTGGCTGAACATTCATAACCAAGGAGGCCATCATGGGGGACCAGCAACTGTACAAGACCAATCACGTGGCCCACGGTGGTGAGAACCTCTTCTATCAACAGCCACCCCTTGGTGTTCACGGCGGGCTGAGCCACAGCTATGGGAATACAATCTCCGGGGCTGGAATGGACGCCCCACAGGCCTCACCCATCTCGCCTCACTTCCCTCAAGATACTCGGGATGGTCTCGGCTTGCCTATTGGCTCCAAAAACCTTGGCCAGATGGATACCTCCAGGCAGGGAGGATGGGGAAGTCATGCGGGACCTGGGAACCATGTCCAGCTTCGTAGCAACTTGGCCAACTCAAACATGATGTGGGGGGCACCGGCTCAGGTGGAGCCCACAGATGGCTACCAATACACTTATTCCCAGGCCAGCGAGATCCGGACCCAGAAACTCACCAGTGGTGTTTTGCACAAGCTGGACTCTTTCACCCAGGTGTTTGCCAACCAGAACCTGCGGATTCAGGTCAACAATATGGCCCAGGTGCTGCACACCCAGTCAGCAGTGATGGATGGAGCCTCTGACAGTGCCCTCCGTCAGCTGCTATCTCAGAAGCCTGTGGAGCCCTCAGCATCAGCTATAGCTTCCCGCTACCAGCAGGTGCCCCAGCAGCCTCACCCTGGTTTCACAGGTGGACTGCCCAAGCCAGCCCTTCCAGTCGGGCAGCACGCTCCCCAAGGGCACCTGTATTATGACTACCAGCAGCCCCTGGCCCAGATGTCCATGCAAGGAGGACAGCCACTGCAAGCCCCTCAGGTGCTGTCCAGCCATATGCAACCGTTGCAGCAGCACCAGTATTACCCACAGCCAACGCCTCAGCAGCAGCAAGCCGGACTGCAGCGGCTCTCCATGCAGGAGACGCAGCAGCAGCAGCAGATGCGCCCCTCGCCGCCTCAGCAGCAGCAGCAGCCACAGCTCCAGCTGCAGCAGCGGCAGAGTTCACTGCAGATACCTCAGTATTATCAGCCACAACCCATGATGCAACACTTGCAAGAGCAGCAGCAGCCAGCCATGCACCTGCAGCCCCCTTCGTACCACAGGGACCCTCATCAGTATACCCCGGAGCAGGCACACGCTGTCCAGCTCATCCAGCTGGGCTCCATGCCACAGTATTACTATCAGGAACCTCAGCAGCCCTATAGCCACCCCCTCTACCAGCAGAGCCACCTGTCCCAGCACCAGCAGCGTGAAGACAGTCAGTTGAAGACATATTCTAGTGACAGACAGACCCCGGCTATGCTGAGTTCCCATGGGGACATGGGACCTCCTGATACAGGGGTGGCAGATCCAGCAAGCTCAGAAATGACCCGGGTCACTAGTACCCTTCCTCACCAACCGCTCCTGTCCCCCAGTGGGATCCACCTCAACAATATGGGGTCTCAGCATCAACAGCCGTCTCCCAGTGCAATGTGGCCCCAGGTATCTCAAAGCTTCTCCCCATATCTGCATGTGCGACAGACTCAGTCAGGCTAGAGTCTCTGTAGTGCCCAATTCGGCCTCCTACCCTTTACGTCCTTTATACACCTCACAAAGGTCGTTCTACATGTGCCAGGCACTGTCTGTGCCAGACTCTTGGAATACAGAATCAATTTGGATTCAGTCTTTGACCCTGGGGATTTGTCACCTCACTAAAGAGATGGCCAGAATATTATAGTATGTCTGAAACGGTTAACATAATGATCAGGACCTAGAGCCAGGGGCCAGAGGGTTGGCTCAGTTTAATCATAGGATGCAGGGCTTGGCAGCAAGTGCTTGTAATCCCAGCACTGGGGAGGCAGAGACCAGAGGATCCCTGGGGCTCCCTGCTGACCAAGCTAGCTTACTCATAGAGTTCTGGGCTAGTAAGAAACCCTGTCTAAAACTAACAAGTTGGGCTCCCATGATGGATCAGTGGGAAAGGGCACTTGTTGCCTCAGCTGGGGGCATGAGTTTTGCCCCCAGGATTGAGGAGAAAGGAGAGTATTGACCCCCACAAGTTGTCTGTTCACCTCCACACACATGTTGTGGCAACACATACACACACATAAAGACAGATAGATAGATAAATAGATAGATAGATAGATAGATAGACAGATAGATAGACAGATAGATGATTGATAGATAGATAGATAGATAGATAGATAGATAGATAGATGATAGATAGATGATAGATAGATAGATAGATAGATAGATAGATAGATAGATAGATAGACAGACAGACGGATAGATAGAGTATAATAAAAAATGTTGATATGGACAGTGCCTGGGGAACAATAGCCAAGGCTAGCCTAACCTCTAGCCTTCACTCGCATGCCCTCATGCACCTATATGTGGTAAATATATAACCACATGCACCTGCACACATACAAATACACACGCATGTACAGTGTCTATGTCAGAGGCAAGAGAGCTACAGAGTGGGGACATCTCATCCCTACTGAAACTCTGTCCTCGGAGTATCCCCGAGACACAGATTGTCCTGTGACTTCTGCACAAACACTGTGCACATGGATGGTCCCCCCCCCCCCCGAGGCTCACACCACTTCTATACACGCCATACATGTGGTCATATACACGAAGTTCTTGTTTGGTAGGTTTTGATGCTGTCAGGTCTCCTGAGATGATGCTGTACCAACCATTTCCTCTCTGTCCTTTGTGGGGATGGACCCTGTAAATGCAGACTAGATACAAACAGAATAAGAAGGGTAGAAGGAGGTCGCGTCCCAGGAGGCTTGGGGCTGGCGTCAGCTGTGAGTTCAGGGAGTAGTAGGAAGAAACCAGATGACAAACAAAGGCGTGAGTAGACACATGTTGGGGTAATCATGGGCAGAGAAAGTTCTGGAAGGCTAGATCCTGGTGTTCAGACAACTTGAGATTCCTCCCTTTAGAAATACATGTTTGTTTTTTTCTCTTTTCTTGTTTTCTTCTGGTGCCCTGTTTGGCTCAAAATTAGATGCACTTACCTGATGGGAGAGCTCAGCCTGGATCCCCGGAATCAAGGTATGGTCAAAGATTCGGTGTATTTGGGAGGCTGGGGAGTTTCTTGGGTTGTGTAAATAACTCATTTCTAAATCCAAGGTCAAAGTTCCAAGGAAAGCAGTAGCAGCTGTGTTTGAACACTCAACCTGTGTGTTACACGGAGAAAATACCAGTAAGGCAGGCATTGCTGTCAGGCGCCTGTCAATGGCAAGTCCTCAGTGATCTCCAGCTACTGCTCACCTCATTTTAGAAATGAGAAAGCCAGGCTCAGAGGGATGACGGTACACACAGAGCAGGGAGCAGTAACGTTTGGCTACTGTGTGTTCTGTTCTTTATCAATTCAGTCACTGGGGACTTAATGGGTGCCTTCTGTGTACCAGGCTTAGAGACGAGCTTTGGGTGTGTCACAGTGAACAGTACAGAACTCACTTCCTTCTCTCAGGGCCATGGCGGGTGGGTGTTTCAATCTGTGGATGATGAAAGCCCCAGTGCCTGGAGGTCTAGAATGATGGAGGATGTGTCTTGTCTGACATGATTTTAAGAAAGCCCTTTCTGCTGGAGACACGGCCTAGCCATAAAGAGCTCTTGCTGATTTTGCTGTAGACTGGGGTTGGAGTCCCAGCACCCACACACGTTGGCTCACAGCTGCCTATAACTCCATCTCCAGGGGATCTAGTGCCCTCTTATCATCTCCCCAGGTACCAGGCACACACAATGCACACACAGACGAGAAACTGAAACACAACACAATGCGCACATGTGCATACACACACACACACACACAATGTTTTCAAAGAAGAGAAAGCCCTCCCAGATCAGTGAGATGGCTTTCCAGGCAGAGGTGCTAAGCCTAATGACCTGAATTTGAACCCTGGGATCTATATAACAAAAGGAGAGAGCTGACTCCAAGTTTTCCTCTGACCAAACACACACACACACATATACACACACACACACACACACACACACACACACACACACACACACATATATATATATATATATATATATATATATATATCTCCATCTGTACATTGGGCTTGGTTATCTGACGTATATCGAAGCCACAGACAGTGGTAGATTAGATAACAAAATGATTTCATTGTAGGTTTGATGCCTTGTGCTAAATTCTTGTTTCTCCGTCCTCAATGTGTATGTCCTTTCCATGTGGCCCTAACCTTCAGCAGCAGCCAAACCAAAGGAGTGTTTGGGGAACAGTTTGATGCCAAGAACAAGCTGACATGTTCCATCTGCCTGAAGGAGTTCAAAAGCCTGCCTGCCCTGAATGGCCACATGCGGTCCCACGGGGGAATGAGGGCCTCCCCCAGCCTCAAACAGGTCAGCAGGAACCCGCCCCGCCCTTCACAGGTCATGTGCTGCTTGCTTTGCTTTGCTGCTGTTGGAGTGAGACAGGGGGATGTGTGCCTTTTGTGGATGCCAGGAGAGGCACGGTCTCCACTTCCCTGGCTTCCTAGACAAGTGTCAAAAGCGGAGTGCTAGAAATCTCTTTAGGGAACCCCATCTCTGTTCCTAGAGAAAGGTGCCAAAGGAACTATGTCAATGTGAGACCTATAAATATGTAAATGAAGAGTGTATACATAATCAAATGTAAAGTAGAAACCTAAAGTATGCTTGAAGCACTCAAGACCATAACCAGATGGTCTCTGAGATCAGTGGTCAGTTGCTAAGACAAATCGAGCAGTTCTCCAGCTCTTGGCTAGAATTTCTATCCATCCATGCAGTGGTGATTGGTTGTAGGTGGGACCCAGTGACCCTGTAATATCCTCAGGATTATCCAGGTGGACAGTCATATAAGAAACCATCCTTGGGTTCAGTTAAAACTCATAGAATTTTCTGAAAATTCTTTGACTATTGAATGTATGAGATTCACTGTCCCATCTCTATTTCCTGGCTGTGCCAGATAAGAGTTTATCTTTACTTTTTTAAAATAATTTTTTAATTTTATGTGCATTGATACTTTGCCTGTAGGCATGTCTATGTGAGGGTGTCAAATCACCTGGAGCTGGATAACAGACAGTTGTGAACTGCCATGTGGGTACTGGGACTTGAACTCAGAGCCTCTGGAAGTGCAGCCAGTGCTTCTAACTGTCTCTCCAGCCTGTCTTCACATTTTAAAAACAGTATGTTTCCATGGCTCATACCTCTATAATCCCAATGGTCACGAGGTAGAGAGATAGGAGGATCACTGCAAGTTGAGGCTAGCCTGGTTTACATGGCAAGTTCAAGGCTAGCCAAAGCAACATAGCAAGACCTTTGTCTCAAAAAACAAAAACAAAAACAAACAGAAAAGAAAAATGTATGTTTTCAGCCCAGTGTGGCATTACACACCTATAATCCCAGCACTCAGGAGGCTGAGGCAGGAGGATTCTGAGTTTGGGCTACCTATTGAGAAACTGGTTGTCTCAAAGAAAGCCGTAGCATTTTCAATGTAGTTTCCTAACCTGAGTAAAATTTAGGCTGCAACTATTATTTCCATTAGACACTGAGTCAACTGAGACCCAAGGAATGGAAACCTACATAAAATCACGTTTAGTTTTGACTGAATAGCAATCCCTGTCCTTTATTTCAAAAAGCCACAAAAGCCACCAACTTTTTTTTTTTTTTAATATTTTCATATACCTTAAGTGATACCTTAAAAGTAGTTCAGGGACCCAGAGTTACAGGAAGGAAACCACCCAGCTGTGGTTTTTCTGTTCCCCACCACTGATGTCCTGGAACCTCTGAGGAAAAGCAAGTCCATCCCCCTTGGGAGAGCTGCTTTCAGCCCAGGATCAAAGCCTTTATTGTCTGTGTAGGAGGAAGGAGAGAAGGCCCCACCACCTCAGCCTCAGCCTCAGCCTCAGCCCCAGCCGCCACTGCCACCTCCGCCTCCGCCGCCACCGCAGCTCCCTCCTGAGGCAGAGCGCCTCACGCCTATGGTCATGCCCGTGTCTGTCCCTGTCAAGCCTCTCCCAGCTCCCAAGCCCAGCTCTCAGGGCTTCACCAACAGCGTCGCTGCCACCCCTTCGGCCAGAGACAAGCCAGCCAGCTCGATGTCGGACGACGAGATGCCTGTGCTCGTGAGGATGACCCTGTCCCCCCCTCACTCTCCCCAAGGGGCTGCCCCCCGTGCGCCTGCTGTGAGTTGCTGTGCTGCCGCACCTGCCTGGGGTGGGGACATTGCTTTGCTTTCTTGGAGATGAGGACAGCTTTTCCAGAGTCACTGGCCTGGGCTACTTGATGTAGTCTCCCCCTCAGGTTCCAGCCTTCCAGGCCACCTGCACTTGACCCTCCATTCCATACTTGTTACTGCTCCAGGCGGAGGGTCTGGATCCAGCTCTGAAGACTGACATGTTCTCATGCCTGGGTGTAAATGACAATCCAGTTGGCAGCCGTCGGTATAACCTTACCGGTTACTAAGATAGGAAAAGTATATCTCTGCTTATAAACAGCTGTTTCCCTTCCCTGGATCTTTCCCAAGACCTCTGGGTCTCCCCAGATCCAGCTTCCAAAGAGGTAAACCTTAGAATGGTTGCACCTCTGGAAGGTAGCTGAATCGCTGGCTTAGATGATCTACCTGGTCAATAGCTTCAGCCATTGTCACACCCGCTTTAATGCCTGGAGTCTTGGATCCATTAGTTTCCCCAATAAGCCCATTGAGAGCCAGATCCCGCAGATCTCAGGAAAGCAAAGTGATTCATGTTTCTCAGTCCCTGTTAAACTCTCCTTGCCTTTGCACCCTCTCCTCTTCTCCCTGCCTCTTCTGCTCTCTACCCTGGGGAATTAAGGACCTCCATGGTTGGCCATACCAGACCTGTCTCTTCCCACAGAGTAGTGTGTCGGATCTTAATTGTCCTGAAAGAATGAGTGCATTCTGGGAGTCTAGGAGCCGTAAGGGTAGGGTTGAAACATTCAGAAAAAGAACTGCTTCGGGTTCTTTTATGACGTTGAAGCTCAGAAGAAGAGAGACTGAGGGACCACCTCCATATTCTGGCCAGAGGGGTCTAGTAACAGACATAGACGGAATAGCTTATCTACACACACACACACCTTCCCTGAGGAAGCTGTGTGGTAGGTGTGAGAGGCTCTGCATCTGTCCTGGAAGTCACACAGGGATTACAGCCACCCATCTCATTCAAGACAGTGAGTAGAGGAGAGGTTAGGGAGAAACCTATTCCCTGGAGGTTGCAAGATGGAAAGACAGGTAGTTGTCTTCTGCCAAAATGGTTCCCCTTACAAGTTTTGAGCTTTACAGACAAGTAATTGGATCTTGGCCTTCTCCCAGGCTAGTGCAAGCATAGTCCAAGCATACGGTATAACCTTCTCTCCCGAGGCGGAGCAGCGGCTTTAAGTTGCTGCTCCCAGTCAGCTACTAGATCAGGAGGGGAATGTCTACAGACTGTTTACCCTAAGTTGCAGAGGTAGAGTGCTCTGTGGGTGAGGTGCGTTAACTGCATTTTTCAACTTAATAGCTTTGTTTTACTATGGGTTATTTGGACTGTAACTCCATCATAAATCAAGATGTACCTGCATACCAGGTGGGTGGGTCCAGCTAGCAAGGCAGCGTGGTGGTATTTTTTTACTTAGGAAGTCATTGTGGGAGTTCTGGGTAGGCTGAGTAGGAAGGGGTGAACTTGGCTTAATGCAGGAGAGAGAGAGACACCATCAGCTGACAGGCAGGCTGAAGCAGAAGCATGATCAGGGAATAAGTAAAGAACGGAAATCAAGCCCTTGATATAAAAAACAAGTTTAAAATCCAGGAAAGAGCTCTAAATTCATATCTCAGCTCTGGGAGAAAGCCAACTTGAAATGTCCCTCCCAAGAGTCTCCATTTCCCCCAGAGTGTTGGACTTACCAGTGGCCTTCTCCCTCCCCTGGGGGCAGGAGTTTTATAAAATTCAGTGCTTGACTCTGCCCCCTAGAGTCCATCAGACCGTGACCCAAGTGTGACAGTCTGGGTGGTTTGACATTCTGAGTTGGGCCTCTTGGTCCAGGTAGCTCAGAGAGCCTTGCCTGGGAGATGATAAAGCATTATTTAGTGGTAGAGGCACCAGTAAGAGCCTAAAAAGGACTTTTGAACTCTATGTTTAGGCTCCCGATCAGAGTTAAGGCCACCAAGAACTCCACATTTCTTAAATGACCTCAGTGACCCAGGGACAGGGCTTAAAGGTTTCCAGATTTGCTCCGCCATCAGGGGTGGGGATGGCAAAGCCACCTTTTCGAAACACTCTCCTCAGCAGGCTCTTAGCTCCTCGGGGGTCTCTTCTGGGCCTCGGCTGTGAGGCGCCCCTACTTGAGGAAAGGAGGGAAGCTGGAGGGTACTGGTCCCTCGGCAACCTCCACGCTGAAGCCGGGAGCCCCTCTCCACCTCCTCCATCACTTCTGCCTCCCCAAGAGGCTCTCCTAGAGGCTGGGATGGCACCTCGGAAGACAGGGGAGCTGAGGAAGAAGTAGACGGCGGGAGGGGAGAGGCAGAGCCCGTACTACCGAAGGCAGGCCGGTGAGAGGGGAGTTGGGGCAGGTCACATGGGCTGGAGGCAGCTGGTCATGTGACCATGAAGGTCTTTCCCATCACCCCTTGCTGCTGTCTTCACTCGCCACTCTGGCACTAGAGCTGCTGGGCACTGCAGCTGTGCCTGAGCACCTCAGAGCCTCTCCACAGGTATCCCGGGTGGCTGTCACACCGGCTCTCGGCTTTTCTGGGTTGATGCTGGCCCCCCAACCCCGACCCAAGTCTGTTTCGTCCGGCTTTGGCATACCCTGCTTCTCTATTTGACGTGCATGTGTGGACTTACTAGTATACGTGTCTCCGTGTGTCAGGTCCCCCCCACCCCCACCCCCACCCCAGACGAGGCTGGCTTCCTCGCCATAACCTAAGCTAGCTCTGCTGACAGGAAGCAGGAGGAGATGGGGGTGCTAGGAGGAGCCTCAGAGGGGCGTGGCAGGGGAGCGTCACCAGCTCCAGCTCCAGGAGAGCCCGTTAAAACGGCCTTGAGGATTGTGGGCCACTGTGCCCCGGCCTCAAGTAACCCTGTAGAGCCGTGGTGACAGCTCGGGGAGCCTGTGCTAGGCACGAACCTCTTCCTGCCCCTCAGCCTTGGGCCTTGCATCCCTGGAGGGAGGATTCCGTCCCCTGCTTAGAACATGTGTGATCTATCCCTGCAGGCGCAGTGGGGGAACTAAAGAGCCACTCTGCTGGATTCCACTCAAGACAGATGGAAATGCAGTGATAAGCCAGAGTTTTAATTTATTACTTCTTGCGGACCCACCCTACCCCTTCTCAGACCTTCCGGATTTTCTTTGCTAACCAGCCCAAGGCCGATGTGGTGGGAGTGGGAGGGGACGAACAGAAGGGAGGCAGTCTCTCCCCCACCCCCTTAGAATTTTCGAGATCCCTGGCCAAATCTATAGAAAGGGGCCAAAGGCAAGGATAGCGGTTCTGTACTTAGAAAGGGGACAATGGCTGGGATGTCCTAGTTTGAATCCCAACTGTTCCTCTCACTCTAGGAAATCCCCCGGAAACATCCACCCATCACCGCCAAAGTTGAGGAGCCCCTCAAGACCCTACCAGAGAAGAAGAAGTTCCGGCACCGTCCTGAGCCCCTCTTCATCCCACCACCGCCTTCTTCCTATACTCCCAACCCCACCTCTTACTCGGGGGCCACCCTGTACCAGAGCCAGCTGCGGTCCCCACGCATCCTAGGGGACCACCTGCTCCTGGACCCCGCCCACGAACTGCCCCCCTACACGCCGCCACCCATGCTGAGCCCCGTGCGCCAGGGCTCAGGGCTCTTCAGCAATGTCCTCATCTCTGGCCACGGCCCTGGAGTGCACCCCCAGCTGCCCCTCACTCCCCTCACGCCCACGCCACGCGTGCTGCTATGCCGTTCCAGTGAGTCGTCCCTTAACCCCTGTCGATTTGGATACTACCCCCGAGTGGGTGGGGAGTCTCACTTTTCTTCAACTGGCTAGTTTACCCCCGTGGATTTCTGTGAAATATCCGTTATGTGTTCCACATACGAGGCGAGGCGTTCTTAATGTGTCTGCATCGCGTTTAGTAACTCAAGGGTATCAGTCTGAGGAGAGAAGTGAGCCAGGGTGTCTTTGGGATGGCGAAAAAAAAAAAAAAAGGAAATGTGCACACGAAGACTGCTTCGGATGATCAAAAAAGATGCTTAAGATAAATATTTAGCGATTATATACATGGGAGTTATTATTATAAGCAAGAGTAAATCTTAATATTTACTGTGCTTTTAAAAAAAAATCAATCATGAACCCTGTAGGTCATATGCCAGCATAGCCCAACTACTATAGACGCTGAGGCAGAAGGCATGGGGGAGGTTGAAATCAGCCTGAGCAGCCCAGGAAAACCCCATCTCCTCAGTAGATATTGAGGGGGCCAAAGGGAGAAGAGAGATCTTTGTAGCTAGGTTGCTTTCTGGTTGCCTAGAAACCATAAGCTGTCTTAGCCAGCCAGCTTTTCCTCACACTGTGGGAAATGGTTATCTTAAGGCCCGTATTCCCAAGCACTGGGGAGGCTGAGGCTTAAAGCTGGGGAATAGGAAGTTCAAGACCAGATTGAGCTACACATCAAGACCTTGTCAAGGGCTGAAGGATGGGGAGAGACAGACAGACAGAAAAAGAACCTCATGAATTCATCCGATCTTCTGGGAATTGATATGTGTTGGGTAGGAGAAGAGCCTTGTTACTGCTTGGCTAATGACTGGTCAGCTAACTTCCGTCTGTGTTCATTTCTTGGGGCGGTTTTTTTTTTTCCTTGTTGTCTGGTAAACTCTAGCGTTTCTGTTTCAGGCAGCATCGACGGCAGTAACGTGACAGTCACCCCAGGACCTGGAGAGCAGACTGTGGATGTTGAACCGTAAGGAATAGCCATTTATTCTTTAGAGCATATGCCTCAGATAAGGAAAGGTCTGGAAGCTTCTAGAAAGGCGATATTTCCGTATTCAGTGGCCACTGAGAGGGGAGAGTTGTGGAAACAGTAGGACCATGGCTTCCTTCCTGCTGTTTCCTTATAGCTGCTAGTACTTCAGAGACTTAGGGCTAAGTGTGAAACCCTAGATTCAAACAATCTAGCCTCATTACCTCCACAGGCCAGCTTGTAGACTCATACACGTTCATATCCCCAGTGGCATTGTGGCCTCTCTCTTGAAGGTGCTTAACTAGAAGAGAATCCTTCTGAATGTTCTTTTTCCCATGTTCCCTCTGTGACTCTTGACCAGTCTTCCAAATGGGTGTGTTGAGTATTTGAATCATTTCATGATTGGTGGGAGATACAGTATTTATACACTCACTGGTGGCTTGACCTCCAGAGGGTACCGGAAACCTCTGATAGGACCATGCCTTGCATATTAGCACTACAGTGCTGTAACCGTCTGTCTGATAACTGAGACAAGTCTATCCAAGTAGATAGACTATGGATTTATCTATCATAGACAATATAAATCCCAACTGACTAACAGGTAGGCATCTGGGGCAGGTAGAAGCAGCTTGGCTTGTGATTTCATCCCGTTACTTAAAATGTTATGAAAGTAGTGCTCACAGAATTATTTATTTCTGGATTTTCCCGCTTAATATTTTCCTCCAATATTAATTCCATCTAAATATTCCGGCTAATATTAGTTGGTCACTGGTAACTGGAAACCACAGAAAGCGGTAAAGAGGCATTACTTTACTATGGAAGGAAAAGGTGATTCTTTTCATGAGTGATAAGAGGCCATGGGGTGGAGCTTTGTAGAGTCCGGAATCAGAAAGCTTGAGTTGACACATTCTAGCTTTGATTTTTACTGAGTCGGTTTTTTGAGGCCTTTGTTGGTGCCTTGAATGGGAATCATGATTACAGTCTTGTTCGTATCCCAGGTCATTGTGAGCTTAGATGGCATGACCCGTGTAAAAGTGGTCTGGAAGCGATAGATACTTTACATTGGCGCCCACACTAAGCCCCCCTCCCTTCGTTCTATGGTTTGCTCCAGCCATGCCCACACTAATCCTCTCTTGGAATTAGCTGTCCTTCTATTCCAGTTTCCACTGAAAGGCTGAAAGCTGAGAAGTTTCAGAATGCCCCCTTGCCCTACCCAGGTCCCCAACTACAGGAGATCTGACTTGGACCCGCCAGCAATATAAATGACACTGAGCCTTATTAATATTGTAAAGCCTGAGCCTTTTGCTGGGCAGTCTCCCAACCACTCTAACCGACTAATCCTGGTACTACATCCTACCACATGGTCAGATCTACCTCTCCGCCTCACTCTGATCCGACCATTCACCTCTGTGTCTCCTGGATGACTCTAACATGTCTGATTCCTGCCAGCTACTGTCCATCAGATCTTTATTACAGCCAATTAGATACAACTCTAGATTGTCTTAGGCAAAAGAGGAAGAATGAATATTTACAAAATATGACATGGGTGATAGGCCATAAAAATAACAAGACCAAGATCTTGCCAGTATTTAGCTCTCTGCTGGTACAAAATTAGCAATTGACTGTGCAGAGACACACCTTCACACAGTGTACCCCAACACTCAGCATTAAAGCTGTGCTTGCCAGTGACAAGGCCAGGCCTGGACTTGAAGGGCCCTGCTCTGTCATTCTTCTGGCAGAAGAAACTACTTCCATGGTGCTTGCAGTTCCTGACAGTTCCCCCTAGTCTAGGCTGTCACACTGAAGACCGTACTGTTTTTCTTTTTATTAAAGACGCATCAACATTGGCTTAAGATTCCAAGCAGAGATCCCAGAACTGCAAGATGTCTCTGCCCTGGCTCAGGACACACACAAGGCCACACTGGTATGGAAGCCGTGGCCTGAGCTGGAAAACCAGGCCCTTCAGCAACAAGGTACTGGTACTTCGGAGGGGCTGGGTGGGTGAGGCTGGCTTCTCTAGCTGGGACGTCTGGCTCCAGAATGGTCGTGGGTGTTTGTGACACTGACCATGTCTGATACAATGACTTCTCATTCTCAACAGTGGAGAATCTTCTGAATTTGTGTTGTTCCAGCGCTCTGCCAGGTGGAGGGACCAATTCAGAATTTGCTTTGCACTCTCTCTTTGAGGCCAAAGGTGACGTGATGGTAAGGATGCTAGGACGTGGTGGGGGAGGAGAGGGGGGGAGCTTTGTGGACGCATTAGCTCAGTGAGTAGGTCCAGACCGGAAGGCCTCCAGCAAAGAAAGCTCCACTTAGACTCCTGCTGACATCTCTGTAAACTAAATTATAATGAGGGGTACATGTGTTCTAGGAAATGAGAATTTCACTTCATGCACCATGACGGAGGCTGAGGAAAACCTTGAGTAAAACAAGAACTGGCCTCAAGGTCCTTCCTGCTGTGGAAATCGGCCAATCTTCGATGCCTCCAGGCTTCTCTTCTCTAGATCCTTAAGTGGTTCTACTTCCCACCTTTACCATAGCTCTGAATACTGGGGACCTTCATTAGGGACACTCAGGTGTCCCTAAACTAGAACCATGGGGCCATCTTCCAAGAGTCAAAGCTGACCATTTGTCTTGTCATCCTTTACTTCTGGCCAGATAAGTCTACCACTAGCCTCAGTTTCCCTTCTATAGGAAGGACATGGTTCTTCCTACTTCTACGATCAGGCTCCTGCTTTTAGATTTTACAGAAATGCAAATAAAGAAACGAGTAAATAAACAAATGTGCCAATACTTCACGTGTGGTCTAGAGTGCTTGCCTTTGAGACCGATGCCCTTCTGGAACCTTCAGCAACATGCATAAGTCACAGTGGCGTGTTCTTAAGGTGTTTGTGCTGATTCAGCAGATGGCGGTGGGGCCTGGGAATTCTGGATTGTCTTCTTTTTTTTTTTCTTTCTTTCTTTTATATGTATAAATGTTAATTGTGTGTAGTATCTGTAGAGACCAGAAGAGGGTATGAGATCCCCTGTAACTAGAGGTACAGGCTTGTAAGCCACCTTATGGGACTTGGAATTGAACCTGAGTCCTCTAGAGGAGTAGCAGATGCTTTAACCACTGAGCCATCTCTCCAGCTCAGAGGTTCTGGGTTTCTAAGCAGTTCCTAAAGGTTGCTGAGGCTTCTGACCTGTGGACTTAAAATAGCAAGATTTCTCTGCCTTGCTTGGCCCAAACCCACCCACTCTCCTGCTGTCTTTTCTTTTAAAACCTAGAGGGCGCTCTTCCAGGGGATCCAGATTTGATTCCCAGCACCCGTGTGGCAGTTTAAAACTGGCTATAACTCGAGTTCCAGGAGATCCAATGCTCTCTTCTGGGTACTAGACACACTTGTGATGCTCAGACATTCCTATAGACATACATTTTGTGCAGTGAACTTGTATTCACAGTGATGGGAGGCAGACACAGGCAAATCCTAGGTTTCGTTGGCCAGATGGCCTCATCAGCTTGGTGACCTCTAGGCTAGTGAGAGATACTCTCTCAAAACACGAGGTGAACGGCACTTGAAGAATGAATGACAGGTTAACATCTGACCGCCGCATGCTCACACACTTTCACATCCACATGCACACACATACATGTACCCACATGAACACAGACAAGACAGCTCCAGGAGGCAGATCTGAAGGGTTTTTACTTGGTGACACTCTGGAAGGACAGCATGTGGTACACTTGTTACTGAATACAGCTGGGTTTAGTCAGTGATAAAGAGAGCTATGATTGTCTATAAAGCACCCACTCCTTCCTCTCAAACCCTGCCCCTGAGAATCAGCCTCCCTTCAGAGAGACCCCGCTCTCTCTCCGAAGGAGTACTTAATTCACAGCTGCCGTGTCTGTTTTCTGTGGTGTGACCAGCGAGCTTCAGGCATGAGCTTGGGGCTGGCAGAGGAGATGGGAGTTAAAATGTTGAGACCTCTTGGGGCCAAACTGAAAGGAAATGCCCTTTAGCATTGTCTGCCCCCTGGGTGTCTTTCCCATTCTGCATCTTTCCCGTGGGACTTGCTCCTAGACTGACTTGTGCCTTTTCTCTCTGTCCCCACAGGCTACCCTGGAAATGTTGCTGCTGCAGAAGCCAGTCAGGTTAAAATGTCATCCTTTAGCAAATTACCACTACGCCGGTAGGTTGCCAGGATCCCCAGACCCCATTGCTTCCTAAAAATGGGCAGCTCACGTTTGGCTGTTTGGCTATAGTTAGTTATTCATTTGAACAAATAGATAACAGTGGGTCTATTAGCCCGACACTGCCGGGCATGTGTCAGTGTAAACACCTGTCCCTGTGAATGTCCCAAGACCTAGGAGATGGTGCGCGTTGGCTGCCCACCTAGCAGTGAGACCTGTGCATCAAAGGAAAGAACCACCAAGACTACAACACAGAGCAGATCACTATTAGCCACCCGTGGCTTTGGAGGCAGTAATGGTGGGTCTTGATCAAGGCCCTAGACTTTCCATAGGCTTGAATTAGAAAAAGAAAAGAGAGGAAAAGGCTACTCCAATGCCAGGAAAAAGACTTCATGCATGTGCATGTCTAGTGTGTGTGTGTGTGTGTGTGTGTGTGTGTGTGTGTGTGTGTGTGTGTGTGAAATAGAAAAGAGCTTTAGATTTAAATGGAGTGTGAAGGAAATAGATTGAGGTGTCTGAAGACAGCACATGAGGCCATGAATGAAGGTTCCACTAACTGGAAACCCATCCACTTTGTCTCCACAGTCTTGCCTTGGTTGTCTCCTTCAGAGTGACTGGACCTTCCATTGCTCTTTGGTTTCTTTTTAAAGACTTTATTTTTAATTATAAAAATTAAAAATGTTGATGCTCATGATTACAGTACCCACAGAGGCTAGAAGAGGGTGCCAGATCCATGAAATCTGGACTTAGAAGCGATTTTGGGTCACCTGATAGGGGTGCTGGAGACCAAACTCCTGTCCTTTACAAGATCTGTATACACTGTAGACCACTGGGCTGTCTCTCCAGCCACTGCCCCTTGATTTGTATCATTTGAAGGTTTCTTTGGTGCCTTGGGCAGACCTCCCCTCGGTAGATGCTGAGAGTATGGTCTTGGGGATCTGCTAACACGACTTCCAGTCCCTCACCAGACAGCCAGACTCAGCCCCGATGTGGCAGCTTCTTTACAGGCCATCTTCCATCTGTCTCTCCCTCCGTCCTGTCCTTCACTTGTGAGTTGGCTTTGCCACCCAAAGAAAGGCCTCAAAGTTGTGTATAAAGGATACCCAAGGGTCAGTTTCAGCTGACGGCAGTTGCAAAGAAGAGACAAGCAGGAAATGGATACTGGAGGTTAAAGGCAACATGTAACCAAGGCCGAAGGAGCCAGCTTCATCATCTCCCGATTGTGTGGGTCCAAAGATGTGGGAGCTCACCAGTCTACCGTGCAGACAGTCACTGCCTCTTCGTTCCCAGCACCATATGCTGTTCCATTAAACCCTAGCAGCTTCTTGTGGGCTAAAAGAAGCTTCCAGCCATGAGCTTCGAGATGCTACTGTAGTTAACCTCAGGTCACACCACCTCACCAGAACCTTAGGATTGATCACGCCCAGCTGTGAGCCTTTTCATGCAGGACATGATTCCTGTCCAGTTGTTCCCAATGTGGTAAACAAGAACTATTTTGTTTCTATGTGCATCATGACACAAAAGACCAGGAAGCCATGAGCAAGAGCCCCCTTCAGCCCCAAGCAAAATGAAACATGAAAATGTTACCAAGCGCTTTGAATGTCTGCTGAGATACAGTAAGGTTTTTGGATTGAATATTGCTAGCTAATCCGTTCCCCCAACTCCTTCCGTCTCAAATGCCTTAGGAAAAACTCTTGCTTTCTGAACTCATTTCAGCCCTTGGAGACCAGAAGTGGGGGTTACCGTCGCCTAAATCTTCAGTTGCTTGCCTTCTCAAAGTGATTACAAACCAAGCCTCTGAGAATATTCTAGTGTTGTGAGCAGATGGGGCAGAAGACACTGGTCCCTAAAGTCAGATATAACCCCTTACCTTTAACAGTTGCCTAGCAGGACGGGAGACAACTGAGTTCATTGTATCTTATGTCCCAGCCACCATGCCATACTCTGAAAACCCCTGCATTTGGTTCCCAGGGGTCACTGAAATCTTTCCCATCCTAGCCCTGGCCTGCCTTGATCTTTGTGCCTGGAGCTTTCTTGTTACTCCCAGTTGGACGGTCAGCTCAGTTTCTGCCTCACTGGAACATTTACCCTCAAGATCTCTTTGGTTTCCAGCCTGACAATTAGACCCATCTGACTCCTGGAACTTCACTTTAGGTTCCTAGTTACTGCTCTGGTTTGGTCTTCATTGCTGTGATAAAGCACTGACCAAACCCAACTAAGAGAAGGAAAGAGTTTGACTCATATCTTACAGTCCACCATTGAGGGAAGCCACAGCAGGAAGCAGAATCTTAACCAGACCATAGACACAGCTTGTTGGCTTGCCTAATCTGGCTTCTTCAGCTACCTTTCTTACACAGCCCAGGCCCACCAGCCCAGGGATAGCCCAGGGATAGTTTTTTCAGTTGAGGTTCCCTCTTCACGGGTATGTCAGAATTTGTGCCAACTTGACCAAAAGCTAACTGGGACACCTAGAGAAGGAAGTCAGATCTAGGCTTTGCCTGGAGGAAAGACAGCCAGGTGGGGTTCCTAGGCAGACAGATACAAGCCTGTGGAAACCCTTGTCTCCCTCACTCAGGACCAGGAGGAGGAACGCTGTGAGGACCAGTGAGCCCAGCCTTGAAGGCAGTCTGCCAAAGTTGGAGAGCCTGCCCAGCATCCTCAGAGAACAGCTGTGCACTTCCAGCGCTCAGTCCACACCGGGACAGCACTGTCCCTCTCAGTTCCCTCCACCCATGGGTGACTAGTAGGCCTTTCCAGTGATTTCACTTAGCGCTCACAGAGGGTGAGGTGTGTATGGAGGAGCTGTGGCAGTTGTGGTCGGACAGCTGGAGCAGCGGCCATTTCTCCACTGAGCAGGTCTTTTATGCAGATGTGCGCAGGGTATCGGAGATGGTAGAATTAGATCTAGCTTCTTCACAGGGTACAGTGAAGACTTCTGTCATGTCCCACCATAACCGTGAGCACCCATTGGGCCCTGCTTTGACTTTTGAAAGGCCAATGAGGCCTGGGCAAGACACCCTTTCCATAAGTTGAGTCTGGGCACTTGTCTTGGAAGCTGCCCAAGGTTAATAAGGAGACAGAATTCTGTACTTGCTAAAATTACTTTGCAAAGAATACAGCTGTGGGTGTTTTTATTTTGTTTTATTTTTATTATGTAGTAGATTTCTTACAGCAGGACCTGAGTCTGTACATTCTCTTGCCTCTCCTGACACAGCATTTGCAAAAAAAAAAAAAAAAATTTAGTGACAAATTTAAAATATGGGCTCAGATTGAGGGTCTCCCTCCTTTCTGCACCTAGAAGAAACTTGGGTAGCAGCCTGCATTCCAAGAAAAAAAAAAATCTGACCTTCACCTGCTGTAGATAACTCTGTATTGCCATTGAAAATCTGGCATAAAGTCTCCCATTTTTTACAGCAAGCATGCCTTTCTGTGGTAACCACAATAATGAGATCAAGTTGTTTTGTTTTGGTTTGGTTTTTGTTTTGTTTTTTAATCCTGAAACGAAGCCAGAGAGACCCTCTAAAAAGATACTGTGTCCAAGTGTTCTCTGCCCCAGGAATGCCTGTTTTTTAATTGCCTGGGTTTGCTATAGATTGGCCCCAAATTAGCCACCATCCAGAGGCTGTTTCCCAGCAACCAAAGCTCCGCACATTTTGCCTCTAGATACTATACTAGTGCCCATTTCATCCAGCTAATTAGGCACTTTGTCATTAGCCTTAATCAGCTTGTTAGGGCCCCTGCTGATAATAGCCCAATAGCCAGGAATCCCCAGGTGGAACAAGTAAATCCGGGGGAATGTCAGCCCACTAACCTCATTTGCCAGCCTGGAAGGCGATGGAGATCTTACAGAGAGGAGCAGAGCTTTGAGAAACCCAGCAAGGAGTTCCAGCAGGGACAGGCAGCCTTGTAAGTGGCCACACATCAGAGGGACAACGTGTGTCCGACAGCCCGCGCTGATACAGAGTCTGCCTCAAGTGACCTGTAGAGACTTGGAACACCTATTCATGACCAAACTGTTGGTCACAGCGAACTGACCACCAGTGTCCAATTCAAGGGGAAAAGTGGACTTCCATGCTGTCACAGAAGGAAGAACTGCTGAGTGGCACATGCTCAGGCAAAGCTCTCCTGACTGAAGTCTTCCTTGGGTAGTAGTTAAGTGTGGCCTCCGTAGAGATGCCGCTGGCTTGAGAAGGCTGAGTAACCCGGCCAACATCTCCAGGTGGAGTGACAATACCTCTGAGAAATGTGCAATCTAAAGTTGGAGAGAATTTTCACTGATCTGCTTGGGGGTGGGCATTATCAGCATCTCCTGGTGTCCAAAGGCCACCGTCCTTGAATTGCAGGGAGCAGCACAATGCCCTCCCCTTACAAGCTGCTGTGACTGAGCTGTCATCTCCTCCCGGCACTGTCTTTCTGACCATGTTACCTCTTTGCTGTTTTGATGGACACCTGAAAGGAACCACGGCTGTTCTTTAATCACCCCACTGAAATGGCTGGCTGGTTGATCTCTGCCTTCTTCCTCTTTAGACCCCTCCAACAGCGGAGAGAAGCTGGAAATCCTCTTCCCCCAAGGCCCAGAATGTTGGTTATAATCTGAGGAATATTATGGGATGGCTATGAAGGCACAGATGTTACCCACCCACCCTCCACACATACAGAGTTGCTGTGGTTTACACAGACCCTGAAGTGAGGGTCTCCAGATCTGAAGATGCTTCCTGTGCTGAGATGGCGCCTATAAATTAGAAGATGCTTCTATGCATTCTCTTCAAAGCCGTAGGGATATAACCTTCCAAAAGCAGTGGAAATAAGTGATTATAAAGTCAGCTGGACTATGGTCTATTCACAGTCTAGAGCCTGAGCTCTTGGCCGGAAGACCCACCAAGGATTTATGTGCCAAGGGTGTTTATTTCAGACACCTGAATTTACATCACTGAGCCACATACTCCCCCCGCAATCCTAGGATGCCTGTCTACCCAGAGGGCCTTCTCTTGACCCACAGATTTCTTTTTCATATGCTTGCATAGAAAATGCTATTTCAGATTGCATGTGCTTATGTCCTGTCAGTTGACCAGAGTACAGTGGAAAACTTGGACCTGCCCTAGCTAGAAGTAAAGATGCTGTGGGGGTCGGGCACGGTGGCGCACACCTATGAACCCAGTACCTTAGAGGCAGGAGCAAATGGGTGTCTGTGAGTAAAAAGCCAGCCAGGACTACACCGTGAGACTTCCTTAAGAAAAACAAAGCAAAGCCGCAGTTTTAAGGGATCTGAGAAGGGAAATGGACTGTCGCTGTCCAGCCACGTGACATCCAGGAATCAGAGCTGTGGAGAGTGTGGGAAACAGAACAGTTTGGCTATCTATGTATCCACTGTGGTGGTTGAATCTACCCTAGCGTACCCAGAACTCAGAGCCCTATGTTTTCTGTTGCTACCCAGAAATGTTTAAGGTTGGGTATTTCATAGAAAAAAATAGATGTATTTTTGCCTACAGTTTATAAAAAAAAATGTCCATGGTTAGGTGCCCTGTAGGGAGGGCAGCATGGCAGGTGGCACCATCTTGGCAGGCTGATTATATCAGGGAAACATCACTTGGTGAGACAGCAAGCCAGAGAGTCACTGGGGAGGGGCTAGGAATGGCTTCCCACCAGGCCCCACCTCTCAGAGGACCACGCCTTAACTCCAGCACACCATGGACTGTGCTGACAACCTGATGCTAGAAGTTCACATTTAAACCCCTCCAAACCACAGAAAGCCTCCCTCCCTCTCTCCCTCCCTCCTTCCCTC